CTACCAATAATTTCAAAAGCAGTTCTGTAAAAAAAGTAATTTTACATATATAGCCTATATATATATTTTTTTATTTTTTTTATTAGGCCTATTATTATTATTATTTTGATTCCCTACAACCTAGAGTTTTTAAAAACATGGTTTTAAGTAAAGTGTGATTTGCCAGGGGGGACTGGGATTTCCTTCTGGTCTAAACATCCCTGCTTCTGCTGAATTATTTTAATCCCCACACCCCTCCCTCCACAGCTAATCAATGCTATAGGCTACTTCACCAATAGACCATATCAAATATAAAATAGAGATATGCAACAAGCACGTTTAAACAACGACAAACAATAAAATCAAAACCAGCGTTTCAGTTGTTCATTAGTTCAAGTGGCCTTAATGCATGCACGGCTTTTCAAAATTTCACAAAGCGTTTTGAGATTATTTTGAATGAAATATTGAAGTTTATAATTAAGTGTTTTGGCAGACCACGCCGAGTGGCCCTATGCATTTTTCTAAAGTCGGGTTTTATTCGAACTTTTGCTAACGACAAAAACAGTTTATCTGTCGTCTCTGTCTCCGGGAACTGCGCGTCACAAAAATGAACCGAAAGCCACTTCAGCTCAGTCACTATAAGAAATCGGCTCTGTCTAAAGCCTTTAAATGTCTAAATATTCTGGCTAATAAATGTTATCTGATTATGTAATCCATATGAAAACGAGAGGTACAGAGGATGTACTCAAACATGTAGCCTGTAAGCGCTTCCCAATGAGAAAATGACAAGACAAGGGTGAAAATCTCGCTCTAATTAAATGTAGCAGGCTAAATCGCCCTGAATTAAAATGTAAAAACAGATCAAATAATGCATTTGTCGAAATGTTGCGATATTGTTTCATTTAAGTTCATAATTATTCAATACATGTTATTTAATTTAGCAGCATTACCACGAAGCACCGTGGTTCGATATTTATTTGAATAAAAAATAAAAATAAAAAAACTTAATTCACAAATTGCATGCCTGGTTGAAAGGATCCAAAGATCCCTGTAGACTTTAATATTGAGTTGAACATTTTGTTCATGAAAACAAATTAACATGCGTTTTTTCAGATTATATTTAGTTTTGCTTGGAAAAAGCTGGCCCAAACCAGTTTTATTTCATCAATTACTGAAATAATTAAATATTTAGTAATAAGCTTTTATGACAGAAATATCACTAGGCTACATGTAACTTAAATCATTTAATTCCTTCATTATCAACACTGTCTAGAATAGCGATTTAAGTGTGAATTGTGACTTCTCTTTGTGTTAAATCAGCCTCAGACTCCAATAGCCGGTGGGGGGTTGGAGGGACAGTTCAGTGCTGTATCGAGCGCGCAGGACAATAGGCATAGGTGTTAATGTTCCTCTTTCATATGGAGAGCGAGGGAGACTAAATAAACTTGTTAAAAAGAGATTCAGCGCGAGAGAGGCAAAGAAAAACGCATGTTTTAATTTAATTATGTTGCTTTGGACAATTTTCGTTTTGTAGGCCTACTGTTTTAATTGTTTAATATAGCTGTCATTTCTTTGGCAATACAAATTTAAAATGTTGCAAGAATAAGATTAGCCTAGTGTTTCTTATTTTGCATCGCAAAAGAAATAAACTCTAAACCCGATGCAACCCTGTTTTAAATAAAAAAAACTGTCCCGACACTTTATTTAAACCTTGAAATGTTCGAACTTGGTTTCAAACTTAAGTAATTTTAGTGTTCTTTTACATTACACAATAATTTAGCAGACTAAAGACGTGCTTCTTCATTTTCATTTTCTGATGCAATCGGCTGACAATCTTCCTTCATCAGTTTTTGTCGTTTGTGCAGCGGCTGCGGTTCCAGGAATGTAGCAAATTTATGTTGTAATATTAATTAAACAAAACTCTTGACTTTAAATAAGTAAACAGTTATAAACAGTTAGCTATTTAAGCATCAAGAAGGTTAAACATAAACGCTGTAGGGCAACATCGGTTAACAACATGTATGCTACATTGAGATTCGATCCGAGTCGATTGAAGCTCCTCGAAGCTCGTGTTGTTGCGTTAACCACTGAGCTATCGTCTATACGTCTGTGACTGTTTTTATTGCAATGTTTTACTTTTTCATTATTTATTCAATTTCATTTCAGTAGCCTAATTTCAGTATTGTGATTATGAATTATTTTAACTACGTTTCACTTGTTGAATTCATCTGCTACCAGCTTTCAAACGCTCTGAATCAGTGCGGTGCGGCAGCAGATTACGGATTAGAGAGAATAAACAAACACTTTTCAGAGTCTATGATTGTAGCGCCTCTTGGCGGTAAAAGGCAGCAAATACACCCCACATTTTACCGCCGCGGTGGAACGGCTGATGTGGGCATTGTCATGGCTTGCCTCGACATTTGCGTTTGAATAGCGCGCGTCCTCCGTGGGCGTGTCAGATTAACGCGTAATGAAGTGTAATGAGCTGGGGAAAAAAAATCTGACAGCACTCTCTTTTCATACAGATTACATAAACTGAGAATATTTGTTTTTTATATAAATTACATCATTAAAAAGAAGAGAATTCAAGCTTCATAAAGAAAAACCTCTCGTGCCTGTATGACAAGTATTTGCAGAGTTAGAGTTAATTTTTCGGACGTGTTTCAGAATGGACTGCACTGACAGAGAGAAGGCAAAACTCGCATCATGTTTATTTTTCTTTATTTGACAAAAAGCACAAAACTTTGTTTTTATTGTGAGTATACAGAAAAATAATAGACAATTAACAGGATCGATTGATGTATAACACTTATATGTACGATCAAAATCAACAGAGTATTTTAAGTCTATTTTTCTGCTATGTGAAAAAAAAACGGCAAAACGCGCGGGCGCGTTTCTGGTCCCCAGAGGGTTAATTTATCATCGTCATCATTGTAAATTATTGTGTTTGTGGAGGTTGCAAAAACTCCGGCCTGACTCAGGACATCGAGTCAGGTTTCCTAACAAGAAAAGGGACGGTGCTGTCTATCTATCGTGCCTGTGTGCGGTGTGTGCAGCTGTGGAGACAGGATTTCTCTTCCGCATCGGCTTCCAAAAACGCGATCGTGTGTAGCGTACACCAGATCTGAGGAACAAAAACGTGTATATCAGGAATAAAAATATCTATCTGTCTCTCGATGAGCTAAGTTATATTACGTAACGTTAGTCTGGACGGATATTAATGAGCATGACATACGCGCCTGATCAAAGCTTATATAGTTTATTCTGATATTGGTAAATTCCAATACTCCTAGATGACCAATAATAGCTTTGCTATTAACTGATACGATGGTAATAATAATCGATATACACCTCACATTTTAGCCAAACAGAATGAACGATGCACTGTTAACTCTATTACACTATTAATTAAAACTCACAGTGAACAGCATTAAATATAAAAACACATATGCCTTACCTTTTTGTTGCAGTGCAGTTTTTATTGCAGTGGTATAATGTTTTGCCGACAGCACTACAGTCCTCATTTTTTTATTGCTGCTTCCATTCTCCTGATTGCTATTATTTCATTTCTTCTTAAAAAAACATCCAGGGAAGATTGAATAGGCCTGTTCTTTTAATGTTTACTCAGTATCTGACAGCTAGGCTAATCAAAAATACGCGCGATTAAGTGATGCAATAAACTGCGGCTGCGCACACTCACTCCACACAAGTTTTTTTATAATAATACTTTTGCAATAATGTGTGTGTCCTCTGACCGTTGTTCTGTCTAACATTTAATCCTGGCCTGTCCCTGCTCTCTCGGCAGCATAGCAGGCTCATAATTGTAAGGCTGTCGTCCGTGGTCTGTCATACGAGTAAGTCCGAAATGTCATTGCGATCCATTGTTTTCCTGTTGTTTGAATGGTTTGAATCGACCGCTCTCCCGCCCGTTACGTCACGCCCGTCACGCCCATTTTCAGATGCGGAAGTACAATTCTCTCACAAAAACGACTCCAGAAGCCAATGTAACGTATTTATAAGTATATTTTAAAGAAAATCTAATTACTACATTGTTTTTCTATACATTTACTCGTTGGGTCCTCTAACCTGCAATATGCCCTTTAAGCCCCGGTGAAAAGTGGGTCAAATTAAGGTACTTTACAGCCTCAATCTGAGAGGGAGGGAAAAGAGGTAGAAGGAAAGGGTGGAAAAAAAGATTGACGTCTTACATTTCCCTTTCTAGTGAGCTTTCTCAGAAACAAACTGACTCCAGCACAGAGGAGACCTCTATTTGTGAGAAACATTGTACTGGACGGCACATTGTTCTCCTCGCCAGATGCTTTTCTCAGTTGTAGTTGTGGCATATTCAATAAGGAAATCTATTCTCCATTTGTCCAGCAGAGGTCTAAATCTTGGCTTTGTATACACCATGGCACCGCCGTGTCCTCCGGGACTACCTAACTGTGACAGTGAATGAATTTAGCTGGGAAGGGTGTAATTTGTCCACAGCAATAATATGGAGTGGTCCGCTCTGCAGGCGGCGGGCTGTAATATAGCTTGCTGTAATGTAGAGAAACAGTCGCCCTCCGGGGTTCAATAACTGCTTATTACTCCTGCCTCCACTTCAGAAGCATCACCATCACCATCAGCCCAGTGGTTTCCCACATTATAACTCCAGCACAAATGCCTCTGCTGCGCTATCGACTGGAGTTCCTCTTATTCTCTAAGCCTGTTGAGCAAATACTCTGTTTGTGGTCATGGTTCTACAGGTCCGTGATCTAATAGATGATGTTAGGGAATTGTCCTCGCCAGCTCTCATTTGTCTTCATATAGAGCCGAGAGAGAAGCCAAGCTGGTCAGTTTTCAGCAACGGGTTATGACATCTTGATGAAATAGCTTCAGAACTTGTGTATAGCACTTATATGTTTATTTTTCCCTGTGGATGTATTTATATGATCTTCAATCTTCTCAATGAATTAGTGCAAAACCGTTTTAGTCATCTGAATGATCATTCTCTCTGTCTCTGTTTTTCTCCTCTGCAGTGTGTCCTGGCACTGATAACAAGCTCAGCACGCTGTCTGATTTGGACCAGCAGTATAAGACTCTTCGGAAGTTTTACGAGAACTGTGAGGTGGTCATGGGTAATCTGGAGATCACCAGTATTGAAAGAAACCGCAACCTGTCTTTCCTCAAGGTGAGTACCAGCAGCTAAAACTGATGATGGATGAATGGATAGATAGATGGAACAAAATCTTACTGACCCCAAACTCACCTTAAAATCCCAGTTAGGTAGATTTGCACCGTGTGCAACTTTTATTAAAATGAACAAAATATAGAGCATCATTATGTGTGACTAACAAGCAGAATACTATTTTCTCTCAATATGAACACTCTAGTGACATGACATTAGAGAGCGAGCCATCCTGTATTTCTGGATTTCAAAGGCAGTTGGAGCTTTTAGCAGTCTTTTGTATGGGTGCTGCAATTACTGGCTGGTAACACTGATGGTTAAATAGCTCTTTTACATTTGCATTAATGGATGTTACTCTTCACTCTGGTTTCACACTTGGTATGACTGCAGAAATGGAGCAAAAAAGGCTGTGCATGGCTGCCTTGTTTTCACACTAAAACCAGGTGTATTACATATTCACAGAGAAATCAACTGGCTATGCCGTGTCTCTGAATAAATGGATGCTTTTTCATGAAAGCCGTCTCATACCGGTTTTAATGTATAGGATGAAAAAGTGGGAATAGCTAAAATTGTGTTGCACACATAAAAACAAAGTGTGTCATATGGTGGTCCTATGCTGAGCATAATGTTAATAATTATCGCCTTTCTGTCTATATGTCTTCTTTTAGAAGGTGGCTGACTATTTTACACTTGAATAATGACATTGAGAAGTTGTAATAGCCTTTTTAAAATGTAAAAATACACAGTGAAGGTGAGCTAAAATAAAGTAATAAACTGAAAAACTTTGTTTTAGAATGATAATGTTTTTACCCCTTAAAGACCTTTATTGTAAAATCATTGGCTTATTGCTTTTATACAGTATATCGGTGGAAACAGCAATATTATAAAAGGCAAAATAGTATCCTTTCTGACATCATTTATATACGTCTTTGTCATCTCTTGTTTGATTGGTTCGAACCGCACATAAAAAGGTGACCCAGGTCACGGTTCGCAGATAATATGAATGCAATCCGTCTTACATCACAGAAGTAAGATCCTCTTGATCTTACTTCTGATCTTACTTCAGATCCTCTTGTCCGCCCTCTCATCACTGGGCATCACTGGAACCTCCCTCAACTGGTTTGAGTCCTATCTCACAGGTAGGTCCTTCAACGTCACATGGAGAGGTGAGGTATCCAAAGCACATCAACTGACCACAGGGGTTCCTCAGGGTTCAGTTCTCGGACCACTCCTCTTCTCCATTTACACCACATCACTGGGACCCATCATACAGGCACATGGTTTCTCTTACCATTGCTATGCTGATGACACCCAGCTCTACCTCTCATTTCAACCAGATGATCCCACAGTAGCTGTACGGATCTCAAGCTGTCTGGCGGACATCTCGGCATGGATGAAGGAACATCACCTGCAGCTCAACCTGGCAAAGACTGAGCTTCTCGTCCTCCCTGCCAATCAGTCTCTACAGCATGGCCTCACTATCCAGCTAGATTCTTCCTCAATCCCCCCATCAAGGTCGGTCAGAAATCTTGGGGTAATCTTTGATGATCAGCTGACCTTCACAGACCACATTACAAAGACAGCTCGATCATGCAGGTTTGCTATGCACAACATCAGGAAGATCAGGCCTTTCCTAACTGAGCATGCAACACAACTTCTCGTCCAGGCCCTGGTCATTTCTAGGCTTGATTACTGCAATGCTCTTCTGGCTGGACTTCCATCATGTGCAACTAAACCCCTACAAATTATCCAGAATGCTGCAGCTCGTCTTGTCTTCAAAGAGCCCAAAAGGGCCCACGTCACTCCTCTGTTCATCTCTCTGCACTGGCTACCACTCGCTGCTCGCATCAAGTTCAAGGCTTTGACGCTTGCTTACAGATTGACCACAGGTTCAGCTCCCTCCTACTTCCACTCACTACTACAAGTCTACATCCCTACCAGAAGCCTACGATCGGTCAATGAGCGACGGCTCGTGGTACCATCACAGCGGGGCACAAAATCACTCTCCAGAACATTCTCATTCACGGTTCCATGCTGGTGGGATGATCTCCCCACCCTCATCCGGAATGCAGAATCCCTGACAGCATTCAAAAGACAACTGAAAACTCATCTCTTCCGGGAGCACTTAACATAACATAAAAAAAAAAAAAAAATATATATATATATATATATATATTAAAAAAAAATCCTTTCCTCTAAATCCTCGCTTGCCTGGCTTATGCTACTCCGAGCTATGTCTGAACTTTGTATTTTGAGCACTTCTTGCGTTGTTTTTGCCTCTTCACGATGACTCGCTTGGTTTAGTCCTCAGTTGTAAGTCGCTTTGGATAAAAGCGTCTGCTAAATGACTAAATGTAAATGTAAATGTAAGTAAACAGATATGTTTAATCCAGTTATTGTGCATCTCAAATCCTGTGTATTTTATTGAGACTCCCCTCTTATTTCGTCCCTACATCGCGCATGATTACCATTGAACGAACAAAGACGTGTTTCAAAGGTCTCTTGTTTACCTGTAGCCCTGATGTTTTCACATCAATCTACCAGCATCCAGGATCAGGGTGCGTATCGGCAGGTGGTGTCACTTTGGCCTGTCAAATAGACCCATGGTCCGCTGTCAGGTTGTATCCTGGTCAAGGCCTGAGCGTTCCAGCAGCAGCAGCTAATGATGTTACAGGCTTTGACTGACTCTTCATTAAGGTCTGATCAATCAGGCTGCTGGCTACCTCATGCCTGCTTAGTGGAATACCAGAGTGGCTCAATGTCTGAGCTGCCAGGTCGTGTTAACGTCAGGAACTGACACAGACTATTGCCTCTTTACATTTGTTGCTCTGCCACCGTGGTCCGTATACATGCAGTACATGTGGACAGACAGATCTATGCAGTAGTAGGACCTCTCTCAGGTCATTTTGTTCCTCCTTCCTTGTTAAAATCCTTCTCACATTTCAATCTCCGAGTTGAAAAACACACTGCTGGCCTCTCTGCCAATTTTAGGGTGACCCGCGGTGTATTAAAGACTCTCCGTGCTCTTCATTTCATTTTTTTTTTTTTTTTTTTTTTTATAGAGACATCAGTATTTGGGAAAGTAAAATGGAAGTAAAGTACCATGTACATTTTTATTCAAAAGTGTATATTTTTAGATTGTGTAAATAATTTATAAATGAATAAGTTGTCATAACTGCATGCATATTTTTACATTACATTATTTTTTTTACATTTATTCATTAGCAGATCCTTTTATCCAAAGCAACTTACAAACAATGAATGAACGAATGAATATTATTTTATTATTATTACATATTTTTCCCTGATGAGGATATCCTTGAATATTACTACAATAAACCTCTAAACACTAATCATATGCACACACACAGATACACATGTATGCATTCATGCATTTATTTATTTATCTGTGTGTGTGTGTATACTTAAAATAAAGTTTTGGATGCATGCTGTCACTGTCACTGTCACACACTGTTTGATATGTAATGTCATCTGTCTGTTTTGAAATAAACTACTATAAATTAGTTTTAAGTAATATGCAATGTAACATGCATTTTATATATTTTTGTGCACTTTATTTTGTTTATGTATTTCAGGCGCTGCACATTTGTTGCATATGCTTATTGTATGGACATTCAGGTCTATGGTTTTGAATGCAATGCATTTTGGGTTATAAGGCATTGCAGCAGCCAGAGAGAGTTACTCACAGTGACAGCACAACCAGCAAGTGACTGACTCAACACTGAGAGAAAGTGACACAGACTGGAGTAGTGGGCAGCTTGGACCATGTAAACAGACACTGTACACAAATGAACCCATCTGTGTTGGGCTCTCTATTTCTAACTAGTTTCCCTTTCAGCAGAAGTACAAGAGTCGAGAAAACTTGTCGAGAACTCTCTATTTTAGAAAAAAAAAAAAAAACTGTCATGGATTTGACCCAGAAAAAATATATTCAGGGCTTTAGCCAAAAGTCCAGAAATGATGATGCCCTTAACAGTGGATTTATACCTTACTGTTTTATGCTGACACAACTAGACATTTCATGTGTCCAAACGTCCAGACAGAATGTTTTTATATCTGGTAAAACTTGTAGATTAGGGAGATGTCTCCTCATGAACTCCTTCAGTCTTTTGTAAATGCTATTTCTAGTATTATTTCAAAGCAGCTTGCAATTCAGGCTTATTTAAAAAGCTTTAAGAGTTGGGTTTACTTTTAATTGGAAGAGGATTGATCAAATGTTTTATATTGTGTCATTCTGGATGAATACTTACAGAATACAGAATACTTAAATGATAAAATAAACATCTCCAACAGCTCTTGGCCCTGCTTGCCACAGATAGCTATGTAATGTAATTATTATTATGAACTGTAATAATTGAATATGAAAATGTCACATTATGAACGAAAAATAGGACTTTTTAACCCTGTAAAACCTGATATAAGAAAAAAAAATCAGATATACTGTATAATAACAATACAATAATAAAAAAGTTTGCATATGTGTTTCAGTTTTTTTTTATTGTGATCATTCAGGCCCATATAGTAATGGCAGGCTTTAATATTCCCACAGGTAAATCCACGATAATCCACACACAATATACACATTGATTGACGAGACCCAACAAAGACACACCAACTGAACTGAAGATAATGACACACACACCTGAACACAATGACAAAATCAAATCAGTGGCCATGACGGCAAACAAGGCAGGGAGAAACAGTGAACGAGTCTTTGATGGTGTGACACATGTCTTATTAAGATGATATTTAGCTTAGTTTTATGATGAAATAATGTAGTTTTTAGAACACATACTGTATAATGTAATACAATGATTGAGAGATGAACAAATAAACGTCCCTCAAAAGCTATGCCATATTTAATAATCATATTTTAACATGATTTAAAAAAATATATATGTATGGATAATCAAGTAAGGATAAGTTGCTTCAGTCCAGTAAATGTTCATCGCGACATATTAATAACAATATAAAAAGTTATT